GAAAGAAGACACAAAAAATGGAGAAATCTTTCATGCCATGAATTGAAAGCATTAATATTGTTAAAATGTCCATACTACCCAGAGCTATCTGCACATTCAATACAATCCCCATTAAAATTCTAATGGAGTTTTTCACATAAATAGAACACACGATCCTAAAATTTGTATGGAACCACAAAAGACCTCCATTAGTTAAAGCAATCTTGAGAAAGGAGAACAAAAATGGAAGCATTGCACTTCCTGATCTCAAACTATGCTACAATGCTATAGCAATCTAAGCAGAATGATATTGGCATAAAAGCAGACACACAGATCTATGGGCCAGAATAAAGAGCCCAGAAATTAACCCATGCCTATATGGTCTCTACAATATATGGTGTTGGGAAAAGTGCTCAGCCACATTCAAAAGAATAAGACTTGATCCGTACCTTACACCATACACAAAAATCAACTCAATATGGATTAACAGCTTGAATGTAAGACCTGAAATCATAAATCTTCTGGAAGAAAACATGTGGTGAGTTCTGTGACATCAGTCTTGGTGATAATTTTTTGGATTTGACACAAAAAGGAAAGGCAACAAAAGCAAAAAATAAACAAGTGGAACACCATCAAACTAAAAAGCTTTTCTGTACAGCAAAGGAAATTGTCAACAAAATGAAAAGGCAACCTCTTAAAAAGAGAAAATAATTGCAAATCGTATATCTGATAAAGGGTTAATATCCAAAATATATAAAGAACTCATACAACTTGATAGCAAAAAAAAATCCAATTAAAAAATTGACAGAAGATTTGAATAGACATTTTTCCAACGCACACATACAAATGACCAATAGGCCCATGAAAAGGTGCTCATCATCGCTAATCATCAGAATGCAAATCAAAACCATGATAAGTTATCACCTCACATTAGTTAGAATCTTTGTTCACTGTTGGTCAGAATACAAAGTGGTGTGGCCACTATGGAAAATAGTATGGAGGTTCCTCAAAAAATTAAAAACATAATTACCATATGATACAGAAATTTCACCTCTGGGTATTTATCTGAAGAAATCAAAAACACTAATTTGAAAAAATAAATGCAACCCCTTGTGTTCACTACAGGATTATTTACAACAGCCAAGACAGAGAAACAACATTAGTGTCCACCAATATAAATGGATAAAGAATACATGAAATAAACACACACACACACACGCACACACAATGGAATACTATTCAGCCAAGATAAAAGAATGAAATACTGCCATTTGTGACAACAGGGATGGACCTTAAAGACATTATGTTAAGTGAAATAAGCCAGACAGAGAAAGATAAATACCATATGATCTCACATATATGTGGAACCTAAAACAAACATACAAACAAATAGTCAAACTCATAAATACTGAGAAAAGATTATAGATTGCCAGGGATCGGGGCAGGTGAGATGGGTAAAAGAGGTCAAAAGGTACAATATTCCAGTTATAAAATAAGTTAGTTCTGGGGATATAACATACAACATCTTTGTCATAATTAACAATACTGTACTGTATATTTGAAAGTTGCTAAGAGAGTAAGTAATCTTAATAGTTCTCATCACAAGAAAAAAAACTTATAACTGTGTGGCAATGTATGTTGACTAAAGTTACTGTGGTGGTCATTTTACAATATGTACAAATTTTGAATCATTATATTCTATACTTAAAACTAATATAATAATATATGTCAATTATGTCTCCATTTTCAAAAACACATACACACACACAAATATGTACACTCACACTACGTACACATATACACATATAAATGTACATACACACACATTAAAAACATTTCATTCCTCTGGGCATTTCTTCATTAATATTTGAATTTCTCCAAATCAAAGGGAATGAAATACAAGATTAAGCGACCATGCAACCATGCAACCATGAAGGGAGAGTAAACTGAAAAGTTTAATTTTATGAACAGGTTAAAACATCAAGGAATCATAGGCATCTTCACCTCTAAATAATATTTTCTTCATGGAAAATGTTCTAAATCATTCATTTTTTTCAGCCAGATTCTTAGGAAAGGCTAGTCCCTACACTCTCCTTTTAGGTTCTTCCAGCCTAATGATAGACGTTTGTCTTTCTGGACACACGTCTGTATTACTCATGTGTGTTCTGTAGACCAGCAGCTTTCACACAGCCCGAGAGTTCAACAGAAATGTATAATCTTGGGGAGGGTGAGGCGGGGGCAGAGAGGTGTCGGGGAATGGCACTTGCTCTCTGGAAGGAGCTACTGCTTCTACTTGGGAGAAACTTCTTTGAAATACAAGTTTTTCCATGTAAGCATCCCTTACTATCTTCTAGGTAAACTGACTACTGAAAATTAAACTAAAAGTATAACCAGTTCCTGTGTCTCAATTCCTATTGGTAACAAGAAACAGTGAAAAGCGGTGACTGAGCTTTGTGCTTGGCAGCAAAACCTCGTTGAAAATTAGATTATGAAAGCAGAACCAAGAATTGCATGTTCTCCCTTCTTCCTTCTTTGCCCACAAGGGTGCCTCACCAGCGCCAGCTATTAAGAGCATGGATCGGCTGGAGGCAACCTGAGAACAAGGAAGTAACGGAAGCTCGACTGTCCTCTGGGTTAAACTATGAAATCAAGACATCAGAGTGAAAATGCCAAATGCCCTTAAAGAGACCAACTAGCTCCTGGGTCTCTGAGACTAGACAGCTCCCTGATCAAATATATTAACATATCTTTAGATATCTTTTTTATTTTTTTTAATATATCCTTTAAGAAAAATGTTTGTTTCCAGCCAAGAAGTCTAAGGAAAAGGAGTATTTTAGGGCCAAATGCCAGAGATGTCTCTCCAAGCAGGAAGGAGAATACCTTACAACCTAAGGTGAGATAAAGAAAAGTTATTTTTGCCATTGTAACCTTCAGGCATGGAGATGCTAATGGAATTGCCCAGCTTTCTGAGGTGGGCTGCACTGTTGAATAATGAGACAGAGATGCCAGGCTATGGCAGCACTGAAACACTCTCTGTGACTGACCTTGCTTGGATCCTCGTTCCCCATACCAACTTGCCAGTAAAATCTAGCCTCCCACATGCCAGGTATGTGTGAAGACAAGCCCAAGCATCTGGCTATATATGTATTTCCATGACCTGGGGGAATAGAAATAAACCCTGGGAGAGAGAACAACTCTCCCAGTATGCCGACCCTGGTGCTTGTAAGTCTGAACACCTGCAAAGGCACCAGCATGTTACCCTGAAGCCTCCAAGGGGTGGCTGCCCAGCCAGCCCAGCCGCCCCACTCTCCACTCTGTGCGCACTCAGACCTTTCCTCTGAAAACATCCCATCAGCCGGGGACACAGAAACCAGCTCATGATTATCCTCTAAAGTGTTTCATTATAAACATGGAAGTTTTCTTACTCAGCATCATTTTCATCGAAGACATGCAAATTGAGAAAAAATTAGCAAAGAAAAAAACTGGCACAGGGTATAAACAAAAAAAGCATTCTCATACACTGCTGGTGCGAGTAGAAATTGGAAGCATTCCAAACATCTTAGAGATTTGTGTATACTTTTGACCCAGCAATATTAGTTCTAGGAATTTATCCTTACCCATTATGGATACGAACAAAGATATAACTACAGTAATATCTTCTAGGCCAGTCAGTTCATAACAGGCAAAACTTGGAAAACACACATATTCAATAGTTGAGAGTGGTTAAATAAATGTCTGTACTGTAATAACACTGACATTTGCAATATGTTATAGAGGTATACTTACTGACCAGAAAAGATATTCATTTTTATTTTTTCTTTTTGTTTAGTTATACTTTCTAACTTTTTTCAATGAACATTTATTATCATATATAACCCTAGCTCTGAATAAAATCCAGGGGTTGGCAGGAAGAGAACACATATGCTGGCCCAAGCCGTGTATGTTACCTGCCATTGAGGTGGCTCCAACTCCTGGTGACCCCACTGAATGAGTTAGGCCCATGTCCTGTTCTCAACAGCCCTGCTCAACGCCTGCAGACTCATGCCTATGGCGTCCTTTTTGGAGTCAATCCATCTCACATTTGGTTTTCCTCTCTTCCTGCTGCCTTCTCTTTCAAAGGAGCCCCAGAGAGGTATTAATGGCCTATCTGAGGTCACCCAGCTGAGTGGTGCTATTGCCTGGCTCTGCAGATTCTAAGCTCAGATGTGTCCACTCATTTCTGGTGCCTTCAAATTAGAGCAGAACCTTCTCTCTCTCTATGCTACTCAATGCCAGTGTCTCAACTCAGAAGCAAAGGTGCCCCTCTAGCTGTGTACTGAGCCAAAAATATTTGAATGAAATAGTTTTTGAGATCTCTCTTCTACGCGCCCTATGCACAATCATAAGAAACCTCAATTGCAAACTGCATTCCACATGATAATCTAGGATTTTCTAAAGTGTATCACGAAATATCAAACTTCTCTCAAGACATCTCAGAATGAATTTGTGACATGGGGAGGGGAGGGAAGAGAGAAAATGGCAATGGAGAAACGTCTACTTTGTGCCCCAGATTTTATAGTCACTTATTGTGAAAGCTCCTTTGCTTTTAATAAGCCTTATGATTCTATTCACCAGCACAGAACATCATGGCCTCTCAGAAGCTAACTTAGAACCCTGGTCAGCCACTGTGGGAAAATCCTCTCTGTTCTTCTCTGTGAACTAAATCTAATGACTCCTTAACCAATTTCCAGAGAGACATTTATTGAAGAACTGTGATTAACATTGCTGCATCTGACCTTGGAGCATCTTACTATAATATCTGTTTTCTCCTCAAGTGACATTCTTTTGGAGATTTTTAAAAAGGACAGAGGGACTGAGTTAATGTTTCGCCCCTTACATAGCTCAATAAAGCAGTGGCTGAGAGTAAAAGGGAATGATATGAGATGCCCCATCTCCCCAGGCCTCCTTCTCCGCTGCCATTAACATGCAAACCAGTGGTGGGAAAAATAAGTGGACCCCAAAGGGATGAAGGTCTTACTTACGGACACACATTTCCCTGCTTTCATAAAATCCAGGACAACACTGGGACTTGCGCCTATACATAGTCTTCTCCCCATGTCGATAGGCTGTCCGATAGCTGATTCTATGTAGAGGGAAAAAGCACATTGTTACCTCTTTTGACCTGCAATTTGATTAGAAATAAAGAACTTATATTTTAATACAAAGAACTATTGAATATAATAAAGGTATTAAAAGCAGAGTATTCCAAAATAATTAAGAAGAAACACGGACTATCTTTCTTGACCAATATTATGCTAGCTCTTACTAATTTGCTAAAAATATATTAAGATTGCCCATTTAATCCAACCTACACTTTATTTCAAGGGTCCCAAAGTTTCATGACTTCCCTATTTCACTAATGTTGTGATATTGTGAAAAGTATTGACTAAATATCTAATCACCATTCACTTAGCATATATTTTAAAGGAAGCATTCAGAGAATTCCTTTAAAACTCTATGACATGCAATTTCATCCCACTATAAAATACAGGAGGGACAAAGGTAGGTTTACAGTTGTTCATATGGAAAATAATACAACAATTAATAAATATAATACAAGGATAAATTCTGTGTTTCGTGTGTAAACCTACTGTTGCCACGCCTTATAGAAGACTTACAGGGGGAAAAAAACTTAAATTTAACCAAAGCCTCATTCATTCATTGATTCATTTATATAACACATGTTTAATAAGCACTTACTACATTGTAGGCACTGTTCTAGCCATCAGAGAAATAGCTCGCAGTGAGAAAAAAAACAAAAAAGAAGAGAAAAACATAAAGCTTGCCCTCAAGGAACTTACATTCTACTGGGGAAGACAGACCTGTGGAATTTAAAATATACACTAAACGAATAAATGTATCATATAATGATTGGTAATGATTAAATGGTGAAGGAAAAAAAAAGCCCAAGTAGAGGAATAAAAGGGAATGCTAGTTTAGATACAGTGGTCAGGGAAAGTTTGAAGAAGTGACATTGAGCATAACATCATTTAGTATAGCATCAGTCGGCAGGTGCCACACTAGGCCCATGACTCATACTACTGTAAGTACTTTATAAATGAAATCAAGATAACACAGGTGCCTCTATATTAACATTAACATTTAATGCATTGTTTTGTTTTCTGTTTCCACATTTATGGGGAAAAATAGGTGGCTTATTTTACTAAGTTGGGGTCAAACTTAACAAGGCCTAAATTGAATCGGATGTTCAAGTAGAAATATATGCTGGGATATGAGTTTCTTGAGATCTGGTGATGTCCACATTTAAGAGTGTCTCCCCCAATTATGCACAATACAAAAGCTGGATAAATTCTTGCTAAACAAACAATGGTAACCAGTAGACATTTTCTCTGTAAGCTCGTTAAGGGCACAGATAACGTTCTTGCTTTTCTCATCTCCTGTGATCTGAAACAAAGCTAGGACAATAGCAGGCACTCAGTAACTATTCACTAGATGAATGAATACACTTGCTCAAGTATTTAATGACTCTGTTGCCCAACTCCTTCCCAGCTAGCCAAACTCAGAAATACACTCGTGCTTTCATTACCTGTGCCGTGTACATTTAAACCAGTTCAGAATGTCAGTGCAGCTGGTGTAGTAAATTTGATCAAAGGGATGTGGGTATGACTCTTGCACAGTTACTGAGTAGCTGAAAAGAAAAGGAAAGATAAGGGATCAGTACATCTCTTTCTTAGATAAATTATATGCCATGTTAACAAAAACAATCATAAACTAAATCATCTCTATTTGCAATTCCACACTGACTTAACAGAGAATCTCCATGTTTTTAGAGGTTTTTATTTGACCCAGAACCCCAAAAGAACCAATATTATATTTAAAAGACAGGAGTCTGTACTGTGAAGTTCAAAGGAAATTCTCTTTCACTATTTATTCACCATAAACTCTGATATTCCTAAATTTAAAAACATATCACCACCTAGTTTTCTGTATTTAATTCCATCCCTTCAGTCCAGGGGTCCAGGGATAACCAAAAGCTTTCCTAGAAAAGTTTTCAATCTAAGTCTACATGCAAGTAATAAGGGTAATCAGCAAAGAGACGGTCTGAGTATTCATGGCAGAGTACATTTTGCTACTGATTCTGGAATTTCAGGAACAGCATATTCCCTGGGTTGAAACTTGGAATAATTTGCTTTTGTGTGCCTGCCCCACTTCTCAGGCAGCAGCAGAATATATACAACGTCTAAAACTACAAAGTCTCTAAAACCAGTTCAAAACATATGGCTGAGAGAATGAGCCTAAAATAATCATACCAAACCTGTGGCTATTTAGGCAAGCTGTTTTCCAATACATTTTCACGAACAGCTTCTTATTAAAGTAAAAGCATGCATGCCTATGGGTCTAATAATGGGGGTGAAAAACATCCATAAAATATAAAGAACTTTCAGTGTTCAATGCCATACTTCTTCATTTTAAAGTAGTCATTGCATGTTCAAAGCTTTGAGCTCCTACCTACAGGAAAATCTGAAGAATCCTCCTTTCCAAACAGTTTTTCTTTTCTTTAACATTCTCTTAAAGATTTCCACTAAAATCTTTAGTTCACACTAACAAATAAAATGGGCCACAATCACGCATTCACTTGCTACAAATCAATAGCCCAAGTTTATTAAAAGGAACTATCAACTAGAGAAGGTACAGAAAAAGTGAGGTCAAAATTTCAGCATGAAGAATTCAGGTTAGACATGGGAAGGAACCTTCTCATTTGAAAAGCTGTGTGGTACAGGCCTCGCAAACAGTGGGCTTTCTTTCCTCAGCTGGTCTGTTAATCACTATGTACTTAGGCTTCAAAAAGACATCCAGGAAATACTCATACCATCAGGGGTATCCACCCGGTGGCCCGCAGGCCTCAGGTGGTTCAGGATGGCTATGAATGCGGCCCAACACAAGATCATTAATTTACTTAAAACATATTGAGATTTTTTTTGTGATTATGCGTCGCAATGTAGTTAATGTGTCGCCCACGAAAACTCTTCTTCCAGTGTGGCCCAGCAACGCGAAAAGGTCAGACATCCCTGAGTCACTTTGGTGTTCATCCTTTGGAATGTTGCAACTCTATTTCTAGGTAAATTTAGGGATCCTCCCCAAATCTTTGGCAGATGTAATAGGCCCTATTGAAAAGATCACTGGATTAGAAGCAGCCAGGGTTGTAATTCTGACCTGACAGTGAGAAACGGGATGACCTTCAGCAGATAACCTCACTTCCCTGGGTTTTATGATCGCATCTTAAAACCAGGGGGTCTGAGGTGATCTCGAAGATCCGTTCCCACTTGGTTTTCTGAATTTCTACCATGCATTTTAGATAATTATTCTCTTCTACTCTAGCCAATGACACCTGCTGTTACCCGCAGGAACAGGTTCAGACGAACAGAGTAGGTATGCAATTCCCTCCATCTGCAATATTAACTCCTTTTGGGTAAAGCAAGAGGCCTCCATTAAAATATAAATGTTCTTGGAATGAAATTTCACATTATGCTATTAATACTTTCCTCAGACCCCTAGAGGTGTCCTAAGGTTCAGGCTGATGTGAACTCTGAGGCTTCCTTGCCAACTTTTTGTTCTTCCTGGAGGTGGATGCCTGCCACGCCATGTGAGCTCCCCATTCCACTTCGAGGGACGAGCACGGCCAGGGAGCACCCCCTGTGCATGACCCACTGCGGAGGTGCAGTCCTACATTACCCAGGAGGGAAACAGGGCAACCTCCCACATGTGCTATTGGAATGAGAAGCCACTCTAAATTAATGCCAGTTGGGGAAAAAATGCACTCTGTGGGGCTCTACGGTACTAATTTAGCTTAACTAAATTAGTTTGTTGGAACTTGGCCTGACGCAGTTTTCCCAGAGTTTCAAAGGGCATGGTATGATGTTAAGGTCTGAATGCCATAGAGCAAAAGTGATCATCAGCAACCGGTCCTGGCCAAGCACATCCCATTTGATGTGGCTAGGGGGAACTGATTCCACAAGCAAACATGAAAAATACTTTCAATAATTTCTAGCAGCTTTGAAGAGTGCTTAAAAAAAGAGTAAATTTTAAAGTACAGGAATTTCCTCTGCTTGCCACTTGCTGCTCACCAATAGCATACATTTGCAGGATGCTTCTCTGGTTTGAGGATATCAAAAAAACACTTCTCTATAAAAGGGTAATCAAACCATTTAGGATTTCAATTCAATAAACACGTATTGAACAAATTCTATGCAATTCCTGCTCTCAAAGAGTTCTCAACAAAAGCTAGCCTGTAAATATTAAAAATAACATGATCTACAGCATTAATGGAGACACATAGGCAGTTTGGGAAAAATAGAAGTATAAAATTCACTGTCTTGAGAATTTCTCTTTGATTTCGACCCTTCGCATTAAAATTACTCAGAGGCTCAAATTCAGTCCAGAACTGACTGAATATGAATTACTTTTCATTTTGGTCAAAAACTGAGGAACCGCTTAAGTGTATGGGAGAAGGGTTTTAAGCTCTGCTGACCCAAATTTCTGATTCCTTCTGATTTTATAAATGAATTTTTCTTTTCTATACAATCTTTCTTTTTTCATTTTTAATGATATTATAATCACACTACAAAATTTCAAAAATAAATTTAAAAAAAGAGAGATGAAAGAATTCCACAACTCTTTACATCACCATCAACAGCATTTTACTGCACTTCTTTTAGTTTTAGCTTAGGTTTTCTTTTTTCTTTTTATATTCTTACAAACATACTGTGCACCTGAGTTTGAAACCTACTTTTTAAACCTAAGAGTACATATATCATAAGCATTTTTCTACATTAGTAAACAGTCTTCATATTCTGACTGCCAAATAATCCCTAAGTTACACCTAATTTATTCAATGTTCACCTACTACTGTTACACAATTACATTGTCACTTTTCCAGGGGCCACTTGCTGGAAGCTGTGTGCCCGTACCATGAAGGGAACCATCCTCAATAATTGGCCTGCCCCCTCTGGTCTTTATCACAGCCTCTCTGGCCAGTGCCTGGGCTGCTGTTTGAACATAAACAGCACCTCTGCTAACAGTCCACACCTTCACGTTCATCAGCAGCTGCTCCAAAAGTCAGAGTGGGATTGTCTAGTCCAGGGATATTCAACTGGTGTGTCATAAGAATTTTTAAAAACATGCAATACTTAACTATTAAGTCAGGGGCACTGACCTCTTTTCCTTTATATTGTCAAATTAAAAAATGACAACAGCCAACACAACAATAGCTGCCTGGTGTGAATGAAGCCAAATTATACCTATTTTTTGGTCAGCTCAGTAAGAAATAATATATTTTGGGGTATGCCCCAGAATTTTAGTAATTAGTTTATGCGGGCCATGAGATGAAAAAGTTTGAAAATTGCTGATCTATTCTAGTCTCATTTTCATCCCAAATGAGCCATACTGAGTCCCCAGTGCTCGCGGGCAGTCTAGAGACGGCACTAGTGTCACGACCCCCAGACACCATCCTTCCCCTCTATCTCCTTTCAGAAGTCACTAAAACATCTGAAGCTTCTAAAGCAGACAGTAAGTGGCAAATTATGGTTTAAAAGGAATCTGATCTCAATTCGGCACTATTTTAAGAATCCAGATGCAAAACCTTTTATCTCCTTGTTTGTTTAATCTTCTCACCACACTGAAAACATTTCATCACTGTGATTTTTAACCTGTTAAGTATTATCCAGGGAGAAGCCCCAGCAAGATAATTTAAGGTCAAAGAACAGGGGGAAATAAGCCATCATCACTTGGACACATTCCAAAGTGGTTAATTACATTTTATTTGCTTAAATTATCTTGTTACTTTAATCAGATATGGTAATAATCATCACTTCTTATCTCTGCTTGCTTAAGGACTGCTTTTTCCATTACCAGCCCGTTCTGTGCTCCACCCTCAAGGGGTGGGCAAGGGATGGCTTTGTGTCTTTAGAAGAAACCCCAATAGATAAAAGGACTTCAACTCACAGAACAGGGAAAGCGGATGGAGAGAAGGGGCAGATGATTCATGAAATTATTCACTTTCCAAAAGGATGCTGTGCAGAATTCCTTTAATAAGAGGCATCCCTTGTGCACTTTAAATGAATTAATTTTCCCTTATTTCATTTTATGTGCAACTTCTGAGAATCAGAATTGCTGCAGTAAAATGGGGCATACTTTTATTTGAACAGACAGAAATCACTCAGTAGTTCCGGGGTGAGGCCTGAGACCACACTTCACACAAGCTCCCAGGTGATGCTTAGGCCGCAGAGACCGCACCAGGAGAAGTGAGTCTCCAGGTGATCCCACAGCTCGCGGCCATTGGGAACAGCTAGCGAAGAAAGCCTATGCTGAGCCCTCGCCAGTGCTTCTACCAAGACTTTTGTCCCTGAAGCTAATCATCCCCCTATTTCAATTCAAGCCCATTTTAGTTTTTGAAAATAGACAAGAACCTGTCATCTGCACCTTTATTTGATCATTTTAACCTATGCTCTGTTCGCCATGCTTGTCAAAATAATTCCACTTTTTTTTTTTACCTTTCTTCAAAGAATCATTATCTAGCCTTGTAACAGAAATCTATTAACAAGAAGATTATAGCTGTCTATCCTTCTTTCTAGCAGCCCATATAAAATAGGGGGAAAAATCAGGGAAAAAAATCTCCACCATTTCCCTATTTTTTCATGCTCAATTTACTGCCCCATTAGCGAACATTTTAGAGGTTACTCTAATTATTTGTGCAACAGGGAAATTATATTACATTTAAAAATGAATGTGTCCCTTGTCTATCTCTCTTTGCCCTCCTCAACTGATGTTCATATTAGTCATTTTGTTTCCTATTAAGAAGGTGAAAGCTCACTCAACAATTATTTATTGGGCACATGCCATATGCAAGGGAATGTTTTAGACACACGATATTATCAGGGGAACAAAACAATGCAAGTAAGTGTTGGCAAATTTGGTCAAATGCTGAGCAAGGAATCAGGACAAATGTGTACATTTGAGTGGGTGCTGGATTATCTGAAGTCTTAGATTCTTTTCTATTTATACCCTCTCCCTTAGAACGTTCATCTGTTCACATCTTATCATGATCCCAAATCCACATTCCCAAACACTTCCCAAATACTTTCAGATTGTCTTACGAACACAACAGGGCAGACCCCACTAAACTCTTCCCTCTCAAATCAGCTCTCTTCCTTTTACTTTTACGTATGTGCACTGACACCTCCACTGTCTCACACAGCAGGTTCTAAATCTCAGCCTCTTCTGCCTCCTTCACATCCTATAGTCAATGTCTTACTAAGATCTGTCGATTTTTATTTCGTTGTATCTTACAAATTCATTTTTCCTCCCATTCCAAAGCTATTATCACCCAAAAAGTTCAACCACCAGTATACTCTCCCTTTTCTAAATTGATAGGTACCCATTCATGCAATAATTGATTCATTTTTATTACTTTAATAAATATTATATATTTTGTTGGTGAAATGCTTTACGAAAGTTGCTGCGACAATTATAAAGATGATAAATAGGAGGTCCCTCCTCTAAAATTCTATGTAATATAGTTAATACCACAAATATATAGAACTTTTTTGTATATATATATATATATATCTCTTCTACAGCTTAAAGTTTCATAGTCTTATATAACTCCATTGATAAGTCAGGGAAATGTATTTTTGTTATCCTGGTTGCATTACATCCAGTGGAGATGGGAACGAGCTCTCATCGAAAAATAATGCTGTGAGTGAGGAACCAGTGTGCCCCTGGAATAACAGACCCGCTGTGCTTGAAAGACTCTGAGCTGTATGCATCCTACCAGAGAGCGACAACAGTGATTAGAATGCACGCTCCGTGGGGTAGTAATCATGGTGCTGACGGTGACCCGAAAAAGAGACCAAAAGTTTGATGTCATTACACTTACAGATAATAAAAATATGTTATTCTCTAGTACTGGGTGCTTCCTAGTTGTTTGAAAAACTTGCATTTGCAATGTTATTTTCAGATAAAGATACTTAGCAATGCAAGTAGCACATCGGAGCAGACTAGACTGCGTACGACTGTGCTGCACCATCACGTGGTTTGTGCTATTTTTGTTTCCAAAAGGGACTATAAGATCCCTGAGAATGGCTCATTGTTTTGTACTTCCTCTATGTTTCCTACTGCAAATGGCCCAGATCTGGACATTACATCATCCAGTCTCATATAATCTATTCAATCTTGCCACCCCCCAGTACTGTACTGACTCTAGTCTTGCTGAGCACAGCCCCTAGAGGTCTGCACAGCACTGGCTCCAAGCCACCATCCATTCTTAGAACCCCTCCCAATCACTGCCACCCACTCATCTAGTTCTTCAAGTACATCTCGGTGATACCGCCTCCATGGAGCGTTGCCAATGCTTCCAGAAATCATGTCTCCCGTGTAGACCACCTATAGCACTATTTTTTTTTTTATGCCATACATTTCCAGTACATTATTACATATTGACTTCCACTGCTTACTCATTGGTTACCATACAGAAGTCCAACTTCCCCAAATTATTGCAAATAGATTCAGAGTAGGAAAAGAACATTAGGGAGCTTATATTAATTGAGCTATTAATGTTTTCCCTGAATCTTACCATTGAACCTGTGTAAGAATCAATATATCAAGTTTTTTTCCACCTAATATATATTCTTTGAGACCAAGGTAAATAATACTGTCTGATTTATTAGATATCACTAATGATTTTTACATAAAAGTAATTTTACAATCTTTTGATACATAAATACTAATTTAGATATCAAACTGATAATGATGGTATAAAAAGGAATTTATCAGAAATTAGTTCTAAGATTACTTTCAGGACTATTACCTTTCCCAGTGGCTACACACATTAGGGTCTTCAAGATTCAGAGGTGACGCTGTCCTTATCCAGTGGCATAATAATAAACAGGTAAGGCCCAGGCATGTGTTCAAAGAAATAACCATTTTTTTCTGAAGAACAACCTACAAGAAAAAGAAGATCCAAATTAGGAATTCATTAAAATGACCCAAATAGAATTCCTTTCAGTACAGCAACCATTTGGTACCAGTTGTCACCAGGGCTGAAACATGTATAACAAGCCATGTATTCAAGCAGACGCGGCCACAGATTTCATGGTCCAGGAGAGAGGTATTTCTTATGTTGTGCAGGGTGGCCACCGTTTTGTAAGTTACTAAAATGTGCACATCATCATTAATTGCCACCACAACCAAAGCCCTTCTCATCCATGCCAGCTAACACGAAAGGACAGGCTTCCAGATTCTCTCACCAGGCATATTTCCCTTCTGGAAGGAGAGTGCTCACAGAGGAATCTGGCCTCATTTGTCCCAGAGCATAAATGATGAAACAGAACCTCCATTGACTCAAGAGAGAAGCACCTCAGGCTCAAACAGAGATTCATTCAATAATTCATTCAATGCGCAATGAATATCCACTCTATCCTCAGCACTGTGCAAAAACCGGACACAAAATACAAATCTAGTTCCTGTCCCTGCCCTTTAAGATGTTTATAACTTAATAATCATGACATATATTTCTTATACTTAGTGCTCCAGTTTCCCCATCTGCTGAATAGAAACAAAACCAGTCATTTTACAGAGGTTTGTACATAGGTGTACAGGAAAAAAGGCGTCAAGCTGTTTGGAGGTCAGTGTTAGAGAAAGCGAGCCTGGTATGATTTAGAGGAAGAGAGACCATAATAGAAAAACAAATAGCAACATGACGTATTTGCAAAACAGGCCAGCGAAGGAGAGAGAAGAGGGAGGAGAATGTTCCAGGCACAGGGAACTGAAGGTGAGGGAGGGTCAGGCACATTTAGGAAGCTCAACTTAATTCAGTGGGATAAAAAGACAATGGGCATATCACAAGCTTTCTTTGCCATTGCAAAGTAGGTGAACTTCATCCAGGGATACAGGAGAGCTAGTAAAGGGTGCAGAGGGGCATGAGAAAGGTCACTGGCTGCAGGGAAGAGTGACCCTAAGGAGGAGACTATTAGAGAACGACCAGGTGAGGCAGGACTGGGGGGTGAACTGAGGAAGCAACATTGGGATTGCAGGGAACTGAATGAATCTGGGACATTTTTAGGAAGAACAGGACTTGGTGACTAAATGTGGGAGTAAAGAGAGAGAGAAAAGACTTCAGATACAGTCCATTGGATGGGGACGCACAGAAGGCCTCCTCCTCTGGGTGATAAGCTTTGGTTCAGTTTTAGGTATGTCAAGTCTGAGGTTCCCATGAGATATTCAAAGGAAGTCACCTGTAGGCACTTATTAAAATCTACCACGTGCCAGGTCAGCTCCAGCGTGTCACAGCTGTAACGGCGCTGCCTGGAAATCATACCCGTCTCTCCACCACCAGGGATCAGTAAGAAGGAAAAGTTTGTCATACTATGTAAAACAATTTTATATAATCATTATACAAATGAAATTAGAAGTAGGTGATCCATTTCCTAATTTAAAAGAAAATAAGCAATAACTAATTAAAACTGAGTAAATAATTAATTAAAATTAACCTGCCTGTTGGTATACCAGTGAAACTGGCCACAACAGGCCTGATTACATGACCAAAGCTGTTATTTTCTGGGTGAGGGTTGGCATTTTTAGACGTTACCCTAACATTCCATACCATGAAGTTATCAGTTTTTAGTATTTGGGAACCAGATTTATTGAATAATAACCCTGTGGTTTAAAAAGGTAAGTTTATCTTAAAAACAAACACATAAACAATACCAACAAAAAACCTAACCTGAGGAAATAATTTATCCTTCAAATACAATAGATGATATGAAGAAGTATTAAATTCTTCAAAATCAAGATTGTTTATAAGGACAAGTACATTTAAGTATATTATGGCAATTTATACATAACCCCACAAAGGCTAAAACACCACAGAAAATGTTTAATTGGAAAAAAAGAAAAAATATACTATTATTTTGTAGAATAATTAAAAGATGGTGTAAGCCACTGAGAGGTTATGAAATTTTTAGAGGGGATTCCAATTATCATGAAATGATTCCAACATATAGATCATAAATGGGAAGCCAAAATATGGCTTATAAAGTAATTCAAGTAATTGGCATTTCTCACAGGATAACCATCATGAAGCTGTAAAATCTGAAGCTTAACGTTATATAACTAAAGCTATTCCACTTAATAGGAATGAATAAAAAGTAACGATGACTATAAACAATAACAGCTAACATTTCTTGACTGATTACTGAGTTCCAGACACAGTGCTGAACCTTTTATGTGATTTATCTATTTAATCCTCATAGTAATGTACCTAAGAAGTAGGTATTTTTATTTCCCCATTTCATAGTTGGAAACGCATAAATATACTGCTAGTGTTTTCCTCATCCATCAAAATAAGAAAACCTTTAAAACATTTTATTTTAACAAATAAGCTTGGCAAATACCTCTCTGTCTCATGGCTTTATCTTTGTCAGGATAAGTGTTTTGTTTCAATGAAGTGTGAAATGTGTATATTAACTTTCATTCTTTCCTCAAAGACAAAACGAGGGCTGGTCAGCAGTAATCTGCCATTTACTCACAAATAATTGCCTCAAATTGAAAAGTTTATATCCTGAGTCACCATCTCAGATTCAAACCATCCATTTCCCAATTAGAAATGTTTAGTCTGTAAAGTTAGAAATTGCTGCAAGCAATGAATCAAACTGCCAAGAAAAAAAAAAGAAAAAGAAAAAGAAAACCCAGGCTGCGCATTCTCTTTTCATGTAAAACCTGTAACACTAACCTTTGGTATCCCTTCCTGCTTTGCACTTGCTGTGCGGCTTTCTGAAGGCTCTAACTGCTCGACGGGAATGATGAGGTGGGGGGGACGGGGAAGCAGAATTTAGTCACCTCATTGTTTTTGAAATTCAGCACACAGAAAACTCAAACTGCATTGCACAGTGACTAGCTGCGTTCAAGAAAATGAAAATATTGGTACATTTAAAAAATGTAGATATGCTCCATTTGTTTTCTTATTCCCAAAGCATTTTCCAAATTAAAATTAGAAATCAACTGAGTTCTAGAATAATTTACATTAAAGTATAAAACATCAAAAGCAAAAGGATGGGATCATGCAAACTCAAAAACAAGTTGAGAAAATAATTCAAATGTTTTTATATATGTGTGTGTGTGTGTGTGTGTGTGTTTGTGTGTATGGTGGAAGGAGAAGACAATTCACAAAAATGCCAATGAGCTGTAAAGAACTATAGACATGCAACATTTCACTATATTCAGAAATATGGATGGTCCTTTCTTTTGTTCCATCTAGTTTAATAAAGGCAGTGACATATAACCCAAATAAGAAGTAGACAGGGCATTACATATATTCTTTCCCTATCTTATTTGTTTTCTTCTACAGGTTTCCTTGAGTGAATGTGGGTATCTTTTCTCCTTTATATCAACCCTGAAGGAAGAAAGTTCAATACATTTTTCTTCATCATTTCTCTCTTTTAAGCTGTTTCATCATGTCTTAGGCTATAATCTTCCACTTTGGAGTACAACTGAAAATAAATACTGTCTTTAACAAATAGCATTATTTCTATTTAAAAAAGGTAACACAGTGGTGATTTGCTTTATTAAACTAGACATTTTAAAAATATTCAAAACTCTAAATTGGGTGTTAATCAACTCCACCCACGCAGTCTTTGGTCTTCAAATAACTTTCCTTATGGTTCCATTTAACAAAATTTAAAATGTAAAAAAAAAAAAAAAAAAAAAAAAAGAGTCATTTGCATGAACCCCCTACTGCCATACTTGATTGCATTCTATATCATTCACTTAATTATTATGGAAAAATCAAAACAGAAAATCAGTACAACTGATTAGCATTGCTAAAGTGCTCCTATTAGAAAGAGGAAACAGCAGGCAGAGTTAACTCTTGCTGCCTGTGAGCAAGTCAGGCTTTGCTTATGCTACCACGAAAACTTCAGTAAATAATCAGTTGAATAAAACCCTTACAATACGTAAGTCTAGGTTCTGATGACAAGGAGTAGTTTCTCTATCAGGGCTTTAGGGAGAAATAAATAATGGGGCGTTGACTAGCTAATTTATTTTTGCAACAACAGAGGGATAAATGATTCCAGACGATGTAGTCTGGCTCTAAAATCAATTTCCTTCCTAGAATCATTAAGGGCACACACAGAAATAACTTAGGTGCCCTCACCTAGTTTTTTTCTCAAGCTCATTTCCCTAAAATCCTCACACAGTTCTCTAAATGAAAACTAATTTCTTGATTAAGAATAGCCACATTTCCAAAATTAAGCGCCCTCCTACCCTGCCCCAGGTACCCAAGGCCACCTATTTCACCTGATCACTCATGTTATCTGTGAAGGATGTTCTAGCTTTTCCCCGAACTACTCAGAAAGGCTACTCAGGTGGGGCAGCTTTGAACCTATGAATAGAGTATTGAATAACAATATTAATAGCGTGCTAAAGATGTCAAAATAGTAATGCTTGCTGGTTGCCCTGAGAAAAGCCCAGCTGGGGCCTTCCCTGGAAATACTACTTCACTGATAAAAAGAAATCCTTGAGGCACTGACATGATTTGTTTCCACCATCCAAAGCTAGTTATTCTAATAGCATATCACTTTCCCCAAGCATAGCTGCTCATCTGAAGCAGCACAAATGCCATATATTCTCTTTGTCTGAGGGAAAGGGGGCTCATATCATTATGTATGCTGACATCAAATATCACAGCAAAGATATTCTTCTACAAAAAATTAAGTCATGTTGTAATGGCAGTCCCACAGCCTACCTTGGAAGCTTCTAAGAATGTAAGTTTGATGAGGGCAGCTATTAACATTAATAAAAACATTCTCAAATTCTATTTTATAAATTCACAAAGGTTTCATAAACAACCAAAATATCCCTAAATATTAGCATGAAGTGAGTGTTTAGTAATAGTTCTGGCACTTCACATCAAGCAAACTTGAGCAAAGCCCCAAGGATGCCCGGCA